AGGGAAAGAAGACCATCTCAGTACTGGAGAGCAGCACAGCCTTTGCTACTGGAATAGATCCTCAGTGCTTACTTTGCTTTCAGTATCATGGGATTGGTAAGGAATCCTGAGGAGAAGAGATTCTTGGCAGGGTCTAGCTGGTTGGGATTTCAAGGAGGACTACCACTGCTCACTACTGCAGCAAAGGCAGTCCTCCTTGTGGTCCCTGCCTGAGTTCTGTGGCTGTTAAGTGGCACTATGCAATGCAACCTGGGAGTGTGGTGTGGTTTTCTGACTAAATGGGGTTGACCACATGAGACAGGAGATATATTTCTCCATTCTGTTCAGCATCACTTACATGGTTCTAGCATCTGTGGTCATGGCAACAGTATTGTGATTAAGAGTTCCCAGGGAATGAAAATTTCACAAATCTTAAGGATAAAAGTGGGACATGCATGCAATTTTCCAGAGATGACAAACTAATCATGCTTAAATCTGCTCAAATGCCTTTGCAGAAACCAAAGAGAGCTAAAGACTCTGCTGTAAATTTTGCAAAGAAACCTATCAACTGAGAAAATGAAGACAGAGTTAAACAGATGAAAGAGGAAGAGACCTTATTTCTTCACACTGAAATCTGAAGAACTGACACTGCATCAGTACGGGAGTAGGAATACCACAGGCTATTCTTTATGTAGCACTATCCAACTGGTGGCCTGCAGACTGCATGTGGCCCCCAAGGGGTTAATCTACAGCCCTCAGGCACTGCCCCTCACCACCCCCACAACTGTTCTCTTGCTACTGCCACCAGAGTCCCTGGGGGGACAGGGTGGCATGGCGTGGCCTTGCAGGAGCTTGTGGTTGGGGGCTGGGGAGACCCAGGGACTTTGCACAGTGTGGGGGTGTTGGTATGGCACAGCGTGGTGCAGAAGTGCCAGCACAGTTCAGTGGGAGGAGGAAAGGGAGGCAGGGGACTCGCATACAGTGTGGTGTACAGCTCATGCAGCATTTGGCCTGGGAGCCATGCGGTCCTTATGCTATGTGGCCAGGGGACTTGTAGTCCCCAGCTGCTCCAAAGTTGGATAGCCCTGCCTTAATGGTTAGTATTGCTGAGCTGATCATCAGCACTACAGAGGAGTGGCAATTAAATACTTTTTGGTAGACCAGGGTCTACCAAATGCTGAAAGCATTATCACTTTTAACATGAACAAAGTTCAGGACCAAAAAGATGTCACAATTTTATGCAAGGGAAGCTCTCTGGTCACCTCTCTATAAAATGATCTTGGGTGTTTTGGGAGATTTAATGATGACTGTTTCCTTACTGAAAGTTAATCAGAAGAATGATTGCTTAACCATAGCTATCTGCATAATTTACTGTAGAATAGTTATGACATGAAAGCTACTTCCATTGTAGTTAAGTGTGGAAGTGTTTCATGCAGGACCAATATTACATTCAAGGTAAAGAAGGACTCACCTACAGGTCCTACTCATTTCTTTACTCACTAGGAACCTCATCCATAGATGAACACTAATTGCAGTGGCTGGGTGCTGTAAACTATACCAGCCTAACAGCTCTTAAATTAACTTTTGCAGGGCTTGCAGATAGAAGCAAGCCTCTGTCCCCACCAAGAACAGTTTGAGAACTGTTCTTCTCACCCAGCTGCACCATGAAGCAGGGTGGAGCATTGGGGGGGGGGGGGGGGGGGAAGTGGAAGCAGGCGGGGAGAAAGTCTAGTCACAGCCCGGACTCTATAATATAGTTCTATTACCAATACTTTACTGTGTATTCAATATACCAGGGAAAAATGTTTATTAAAAACAAAACAAAAAAAATCTAGAGAGAGCTGCCATAAGTGTAATATTTGGATCATGGTGATAGCCTCCTTTGCAAGTTTAGTGCATATGAGTAACTGTTTCATATATCATTGGAAGAAGCAGGCTATTAATTACCTGTCAGTATCGCCATATACAACACGAGCTCCCCATTTTTTTGTATCATTCACCAGCTTTATTGCTCGCTCCAATGTCTCTCTGGCTTTGTGGATAATACTATCCCCAATCTGCGAATAAAAATAAACTGAAACTATTTTGTTTTTATTTTACCACAACAAATGCTATGTAGCACTGGCTTTGCTCTGAACTGATCTTTTAATAAGCAGGATCATTGTAAAACAAACTGACACATTTGCTGGTTTAAAAAAAATGT